CCGTTTCTTTCCTGCATATTACTTCTTTTGTTGTTTTTTCTTTGATTACTTCGCGTGTCTATCTTTCATTTCCTTACTTCATTCTTTACTTTTTCTTCCTTCCTATCACGCTTTCTTCTCTTTCACTTTCATTCTTTCTTTCTTTGACTTTCTGTTCCCCTTTCATATTCCTTTTCTTTCTTTTTCTTTTTTCTTTTCGTTTTATCTTTCTTGTCGCTCTTTCTTGTATTTCTTTCTTTCTTTTCTTTTTTCTTTCTTTCTTTCTTTCTTTCAGTTCTTTTTCAAATCACTTTCTTTCTTTTGGTTTCTTCATTTAAAAAATTTGAAAATTGATATAGAATAATTTCTTTTCTTTCCTTTTTTGTTTTTTTTTATTTATATTTATATTTTATATATATATATATATATATATATATATATATATATATATATATAACCTATATATGATATTGAGAGCTTTCAATAGGTACCCATATATATAATATATAAATGTAAAATTACACACACACACATATATATATATATCATCATCATCGATCGATATATATATATATATATCACCGATATATGTATATATGTATATATATATATATATATCATCACCAATAAAATCATTATTAATCTGAATGGAAAATCTCAAAATATAGGCGTCTTCTTTTTTTAAACACGCACACACACACATATACATATATATATATATATATATATATATATATATATATATATATATATATATATATATATATATATATATATATATATATATATATATATATATATATATATATATATATATATATATATATATATATATATATATAGCGATAAAATCATTATTAATCTGAAAGGAAAATCTCAAAATATAGGCATATTTTTACACACACACAAACAAGACTTTCAGACCACCTGTGTATATATACATATATATATATATATATATATATATATATATATATATATATATATCCATATAAATTACTCTATAGCACTCAATGCAAGGAAAGACTCAAAATTTAGAAGATGTTAATATACCAAATAAACAGCCCACTTTTAATAAAATATCAGTCACCACAGGAGAATGTATCTTGAAGTGTATATAATTAAGGCGCACATATATCATGTTAACATTATAAAAACTAAATTAGTTAATGAAATAAATTGCATTCTTTTCTGCGGCCTCGTTCCTAATAGATGTTACACGTGACATCACGCTAGACCATTTCAAACGTTCATATTTCCCAAAGAATACCAGGATACAGACAATGGAATTATAACTATTACAAAGACATCATATCGCTTCTTGATAATGAGTGCAAAAGTCGGACTTACTTGAACAAAAATAACAGAATAGGAACTCTGGACAGTTTATCCACAACCTCGTGCATAATACACTTTATCCGAAAATTGAACAAAAAATAATAAAAAAATAAATCTGACAGATCTTTTCGTTTTTTTTTAATCAAAATTGTTATATATATATATATATATATATATATATATATATATATATATATATATATATATGTGTGAAGAAAAATTTGGAAAAAACAAACAAAATCCTAAATGCAATTATGTTGTTTAAAATGAATGAAATGTCGACGTCTGACGTTTCGGTTTAATAAACCTTTCAGAACAATATTCATTAAAATACAATTCAGTTCAATTTGTCGGATCTATATCCATTTACATTTGCTTACATATATATATATATATATATATATATATATATATATATATATATATATATATATATTCTTCTTTAGACTTAATGGAGCATCTTGAACACACCCTCGCCAGGGTAGGCTTTGAATTCCGCGCTGTCTTTCTCCTAGACTGGTTAGTAGCCAAATCTAGAGAGCTCAATTTGCCTTCAATTTAGGTCAAAGCCCGGATAGATAAGTGATATAGTTATTATTATTATTATTATTATTATAATTATTATTATTGTTGTTGTTGTTGTTGCTGTTGTTTTATTTCCTTTGATTTCTGGTGTGTACACATTTTTTTGCAGGTCCCGACCAGAGACCTAAGGTCAGAAATGGTATCATGACATTTTCCACTGAGCAGTTTTGAAGAAAATATCGCACATATTTTACATAGATAAAGCCCTTCGTAAAGTGCCGGCTGTACTTGTGACAACAATTTGTTGTATTTCTTTAAGGCATGGTCTACCAAGAATTCATTCAATGAGTCTATTAGAATCTTTTCCAAATCAATCTGATGGCTCCAACTACATCTGGAATTGCTATGTCCTCATGAGCCACATTTTTGAGATTTATTATTATTATTATTATTATTATTATTCCTCATTCTTATCTTCTTCTTCATGTTTGTTGTTTTTGGTATTAAACCAATTCAATGTAGATACAAATGAGATAGTGGGAGAGGGAGAGGGAGAGAGATAAATAAAAACTGAATGCAAAATCGAAAAACAAACAAAGAGAAACGAGTAGCGAAGAAAGAAAGTAATGGAAATGAGAGAGAAAGAGAGAGAGAGAGAGAGAGAGAGAGAGGGGGGGTAGAGACAGAACGAATGGGGTTGAGTTTTAAAAAAAGAGAAGAAAAATTGATTGCAACCAAGAAATTCAAAACAGAAACAAAAGGAAAATCTTTGTACATTAAAGAAAGAATATTTTCTTCAGAAAAAAAAAAAATAAAAAAAATGCTTGTCTCAAAGACACACTAAGAGAAGTGAAAACATTAACTTTTAAGGATTCCATGCAAACCATTTTCAAAGAGTGTGAAATGCCATTTAAGATATACCGGCGAGAAACAGGAATGAATATTAAAGTTACCAAGAAAATAAAAGGATCCATTCCTGGGTTTCAATATTTAGCCAGCTAACCTCTTATAGCGATATATCTGTTGTGATCTGAATCTTCATTACTTATTAGAACACTGGTGGATTCGCGCTGTTGGCTTGGTTTCAAACTAGGTCTATCATAGTAAATACTTCTAGGGTTTCACAGTGAAGTACTAGATAGTAAGTTAGTGAGATCGATCCTTGCAGAAAGCACTTGTTTTTTTTCAGATTTTTCTAAAAAAAAGAGGAAATTCTGAAGTAAATAAATAAATAAATAATGCGTGGACAAGAAGGAAAGATATTAAAAATAAAGAGAGAAGGGTGGAAGGAGGGAGGGGAGGAACGAACGAACGAACAAAAAGTGGAAAAAAAAGAAATAAAAAAGGAAAGAAATAAAAGCGGACAAAAAAGAAAGAATGAAAGAAAGAATTGAAAATTTAGAAAGTGCTGTGAAGAAAGAAAGAAAGAAAGAAAGAAAGTAAAAAAGAGAGAAATGACGAAAAGCAGAAGAAGGAAAGAACGACTGGGAGAAAAAAGAAAAAAGAAAGAAAAAGAAAGAAAGAAAGAAAAAGAAAAGAAAGAAAAAAAGAAAGAAAAAAGAAAAAGAACAAAAAAAAAGAAAGAAAGATAAGGGAAAAAGAAAAAATGAACTAAAGAACAAAAAAAACGGAGAAAGGAGAGAAATGAAGAAATGCACAAATAAGACAAAAAGAAAGAAAGAAAGAAAGAAAGAAAGAAAGAAAAAAAGACGTGGAGAAAAGAAAGAAAGAAAGAAAGAAAGAAAGAGAGAAAGACAGGGAAAAAGAAAGAAAGAAAGGTAGAAAAGAAAGAAAGAAAGAAAGAAAGAAAGACCATGAAAAGAAATCATGAAAACTGAAGAAAGAAAGATCAGGGAAATTAGAAGAGAAATCATAAAAAAAAAAGAAAGAAAGAAAGAAAGAAAGAAAGAAAGAAAAAGAAAAGAAAGAAAGGGGAAAAGAAAGAAAGAAAGAAAGAAAGAGGTAAAAAAAAAAAAAAGAAAAAAAAAAAAGAAAAGAAAACTAAGAAAGAAAAAAAAGGAGAGAAAGAAAAGAAAGAAAGAAAATAAAAATGGGAGAAAAGAAGAAAAGAAGAAGAAAGAAAGAACGACTAGGAGAAAAGAAAGAAAGAAAGAAAGAAAGAAAGAAAGAAAGATGAGAAAAGAAATGAAAAAGAAAGAAAGACAGGCAGAAAGAAAGAATGAACTAAAGAAAGTAAAATGAAAGGAGAGAAAAAAGAAATAAGACAAAAAGAAAGAAAGAAAACAGGGACAAAAGAAACACAGGGACAAAAGAGAGAAAGAACGAGAGAAATACAGGAGGAAAAGAAAGAAAGAAAGAAAGAAAGAAAGAAAGAAAGAAAGAAAGAAAGATAAGACGGGGAGGAAAGAAAGAAATAAAGACGGAAAGAAAAGAAAAGATAAGAAAGAAAGAAAGAAAGAAAGACGGGGAGAAAAGAAAGAAAGAATGGGGAACAAGAAAGAAAGAAAGAAAGAAAGAAAGAAAGAAAGAAAGAAGGAAAAGTGTAAAGAAACAAAAGAATGTTAAAATTTTGATAAGGAACAAAATGTCGAGAAAGAAAAAAGAAAGAAAGACAAATAGAAAGAAAAACGGAAGAAAAATTACGTTGACATTTCAAAAAAGAAAAAGAAACGATTGAAAAGGAAAAAGAGAAAGAAAGAAAATTTAACTTAAAAAAATTAATTCAAGAATTAAGAAAGAAGAAAAATTATTTTTCGAGAAAGAAAGCTTAATGATTCAGGAAGGTTGAAAAATTAGTTAATTAATCAATTTAGATAGATAGATAGATAGATAGATAGATAGATAGATAGATAGATAGAATCTAGGTTAGAAAGGGAAACTTAAAGAGGATGAGAAAATGAAGGTTAGATAAATAAAAAGGAAAGAAGCGCGTTAAACGGAATGGAGAAAAGCAATTTGAATGATCTTCAAAGAAGGAAAAAGAAAAAGAATTAAGATCATGCAAGGACTTTCCGATTTAATAATGGCAATCGTTTCGACTAATGACGACAGATTTCGCGCTTAGGCTAGAAAGGGTGGGGAAACCCGCGGGACAATTTCCTGAACCTTTCTCCATTGCCAATTGCTCGCTCTTCCGCCACTGACAACGCCCTGCAACGCCCTTCTCTGCCATTCTCAGTCCATTTTCCCTCAGCCTTATGTCTCACTACCCCTCCCCGCGGTTGACTGACTCTCCGGTCTCGAAATGTCCCCCTTGTCCCCGAGACAAAAGGCTCCGTGACACGTACGAAAGGAAGAAAAAGGCCTGTGTTATATAAACAAACGCAACAACAACGACGTGAAGATTTTTTTTCTTTTATTATTTTTTGATACGGTTGCTTTTTGTATATGATTGCGCTTGTGGATATTTTGAGAACACCTCCTTGTATGCTTGTGTAGGGATATACATGTATGTTTTTAAGTATGAGTGTACGGGCGTGTTTATGTGTGTGCGAAGAAACGCCTGCATGTTTGTGTGTATATGTGGGGTGTATGTATGTGTAAAATGATGCATGCATATTCGTGCATATATGCATTCAAGATGATGCATGAATGTTAGTGTATGCGTAAGAATATGCATTTATATTTTAGTGTATGTGTGCGTGCATGAAGACAAATACATCTCTGTGGTTATGTGCAAGGTAATGTCTTTATTTTTGTGTGCATGTGTAAGGAAAAACATGTATGGCTGTGCGTATATATAAAGGGATGCATTCATTTATGTGTGTTTCTCTCTCTCTCTCTCTCTCTCTCTCTCTGTGTTAAGAGAATAATGTGTGGTTGTGTCTATAAGAAGATGTATGCATGTCTTCGTATGCGCAAGTAGATGTATTTCCTTTTGTGCATGTGTGTCTGTAAAGAGATGCATGTAAGTTTATGTGTGTGTAAACATGTGCGTCTGCAAGTTTGTTTGTGTGTGTATGTAAGGACATGTCTGCATGCTTGAAAGTATGTGTGTGTGTGTGAGGTTTGCAGGTATATTTGAGCGTATGTGTCTGTGTGTAAGGTGCTGCATGCATGTGTGTATGTTTGAGGCATACATAATGAATACGTGTGAAAAAAGTATGGTGTTTTGCGAGTTTGAGTGAATTTTCATGTATGCGTAAGTGGATGCGTGTGCTCGTGTGATTGTGTAATATATATATATATATATATATATATATATATATATATTTATATATTTATAGTTTTAAGTTATGCTATATTTATGGATTAAAGTGCTCAATATCAGGAACAGAGCGTATGGAAATATAAAATATAAAAGGGGGCATTGAGGTCAACACCCATCGGTGACTGTTTCATGCATAGTGGATTTTCAGCAACACACACATAAGCACAACAGTAAAAAAAAAAAACAGCCAGCAGGAAAAGAAACATCATATAGTTCAACCCACCATGTAACAATCTCAGAAAAATACTTCTTTAACTCATACACAAAATCAAGTACTTTTCACAAAAAAATATCAGCTAGAGTTGCACCGAGAACACATCAAAAAATGATAACAACCAACAAACCACTATCACAAATCAAACCCACCTGTAATTACATAGCAAAGAACGAATGCCCCTTAAACGGCAATTGCTTTTAAAACAATTTAATATTCCAGGCCACTGTATAATCAGCAGATTACGAAGAAAAAAATATATATTGGAGTAACTGAAGGTCCCTGGAAACAGAAACTACGTACACGAAACATCTCATAAAAATAGTAAATACGTGAACAGCACAATGCTTTCTAAACATATAGGGGAAAATAAAAACAGAAACAAAGTCACAATAAAATAGGATAGAGAATAAGGAAGAAAACATAAGTCGAAAAAAAAACAAACAAAAACTGTAAAGTCTGTCTCGAGGAGAAAATAGCTATAATTATCTTTCCAGACAAATACAAATTACTAAATAAACGATTATAACTAATCTCAAAATACAGACGGAAAAATAATTTTTTACGATGTTTCTTAGAAATCAAAAACAAAAAACGACTATTAAACGAAATAAATAAATAAATAAAAAAATAAAAAAAATAAATCAATAAAAAACAAAAAGTAAATCAATAAAAAACTAAAAAATTAAATCAATGAATAAGTAGACAAATTCATTAAATAATAAACAAATTAACAGGCTGCGAATGCACATAAAATACAAGTACAATACTCTAGTATCTATCTATCTATCTATCTATCTATCTGTGTGTGTGTGTGTGATAAGATATAGTTTTATGGTGTGCTATATTTATAGGCTAAATTGAGCAATATCGTGGATAGAGCGTGTGTAAATATGAAATTGAACAATGAAGTCACCACCCAGAGGTGACAGGCTATTCCATACTTAAAAGCAATCGTCAGGGCAAAACAATTGCGTTTAGCATGAAACAGACTGTCGCTTCTGGGTGTTCATTCATATATATATATATATATATATATATATATATATATATATATATATATACACGGGAGGAATAAAAGTTTATATATATATATATATATATATATAAAAAAAAAACACTAATATTCCATGGTGATAATTTATTCCATTGAATCGTAAATACGATCCAATTCATCAGACCTACAAATTCAAAAAGAAAACAGAAAAAACCCAACTCCGGAAATAAAAACAGAATTTAGAGAGAGTGTAAGTATGAGGAGGGGGGGGAGATTAAACCTTAACAGAGAGAATTTTAGGAGAGGTGGGTGGAAGGGGTTTAAGTAAGAGAAAAATGAATGTTGTCGGATGTCTGATGCATAAAGATACATTTCATGGTGACATACACAGACCATAGACAATTTAATGTTAGAATAAGAGGTGGGGAGAGATGGGGCGAAGGAAAATATGACGATTATCTAATCCAGCAAGGACCTATATTTCTATGTTCAAAATATATATATGAGAGGGCATGAAAGTTTCCATATATTTTTTAGAAAGATATAGCCATGATATCAAACACACAAGAACAAGGTGACACACGCACGTGCGCGCTCACACACACACACACAGACGTATATATATATATATATATATATATATATATAATGCCACATCCGAAGATGTGCTAATAGTAGAAAAGGGAAATTTGGCTTCAGAAGCAATACCTAGGCGCATGTATATACACATTAAGGATAGTGCGATCTATTTTGAATTCAGAGTTTCATTCTCCCAGATTGGTCGCCACCTCTCCTGCTCTTTTATCTATAGCTGCGTGGGAAGATTAAATGAACTCATACCTTTCCCATTGGCATTAGCACGGATGTAATTTTAACAAACCCGACAAGTTCTTCTCATTTTTTCACTCCCAGTAGCCCCGCCCCCACGACTTAGTGGCATTATCACCTTGCGTGGGGTGAAAGATTATATATATATATATATATATATATATATATATATATATATATACTTATCAGCTGTCAATATACCTCCTAAAACTCTCTAGCACTTATCATTGGAGCAGGTAGAATGGAGATCAACGTGTTTTAGTGGACTTAGCAGTTTTCAAACCAACTTGTCTGAATCGTCCCCAAGAAGCGAGAGCAAGAGCAAGAGCTAAAATGTCAGCCAATCTCACACTGATCTCATCTCACAATCCTTACTCTTGCTCCATACGCGCTTTCCTTTGTTAGTCATTAGCGGGTCTTAAAGTGCCACTTAAAATTATCGGACAAAATTTCATAACTGAATCAATTAAGTTGTCAGATCCTCATACGTCGAAACCGACAGGAGAGTTCATTATATATATATATATATATATATATATATATATATATATATATATATATATATATATATATATATATATATATATATATACTAGTGTAGAGCCCGGCGTTGCCCGGGGATGTAACAGTAAGAGATTGATCAAGTATCGACCATCATAAAGACTGAAAAATATTATTGACAAAGATTATTGTTTAAGGTTGACGGACACGCATGTCTTAATTAGTTTTTTTTTTTTTACGAATTGGTCAAACCCAACTTCAAACAAAAACATTGTTTTCAATCGTTACAGTCTACCGATTGAATAGAATTTTATTATAAATAATTGTCTTGTAAATGGAATTTTTAAAGCATTCTGAATGTAAAAACAAAGAAAAAAGTGTGCAAGAAAATAAGAAACACTACCTGCCAAAAAAAAGTGAAGATTTGTTGAAATCGGTTGAAAAATGTAGGAAATCCGATCCCATATATAAACGAACAGACACACACACAAAAACAACCTGGGTTTTATAATAAGTATAACTCGATATGAGTTGTCCCCCTTTCATTAATGCCTCTTAATCGTGTTTTCAAATTGATTTCGTGCAAAAACAATTGTGTTTTTCCAATTTTTGGCGCTGTCAGAACCACCGCAAGGTAATTTTACGTAGTCCTGTGAAGTTTTGTTGAAATCGGTTGAAAAATGTAGGAAATCCGATCCAATATATAAACGAACAGACACACACACAGCCTGCGTTTTATAATAAGTATAATATATATTGTGCACGAAGTCGACAACACATCTTTAGTGGACCAAATGTAGAATGAAGCTCAACGTAATGTTACATGAGGTATGTGTGAAATTTTAACTACCTCATTTCCCTTTTCACAGGTGTTGAAATTGCATTAACACGGCGGTTTCCAACGTGAAACAGGAAATGTCAATGCACTGCAATGTCCGTGCCATTAGCCGCTAACCGCGGAGAACCGGAGATTCTTGAATGTTGCCATAGAAAAAAAAAACGGCAGGTGACACTGCGTAGACCCAAAGATATAACCACGGTGATGCATATCAAGTTCAGGTGATCTGTTATGTTCCTGGGCAACTCAATGTCGACGATGGCCGACGGCAAGAAGAGGGAACATGACACGACTTTCGTTGGTAAGAAACAAAAGTCATGTGATGTTTCCTTTTGCCGACGGTCAACGTCTACCTTGAATTGCTGGATACGGCTGTCAACTCCTGGAACGATAAGTTGGCTGTACGTGCTTTCCGTCTTTCCTACAGGGCAGACGTAACCATGGCCGTGACTTTTCTCGATCATTTCACCCTCAAGAGGTACCATCTTAGCTTTCCCATGCTTGCTTCATAAATCTATCTATCTATCTATCTATCTATCTATCTATCTATCTATCTATCTATCTATCTATCATATTTTCGTCGCTCATGAGCAATACCGAAAGCAGTACCTCGTTAAAAGACTCGCCCTCCCAAATGGGCCATTCCATTTCGTAACCGTCTATATTTTGTAATATTCTATGCGGGACTCCACTAATTTTTCAGGGTCAATTTTCAATTATCTCCTATCTCTTATTCAACCACTTTCTCCTCTTTCCTTCCTTCCTTCCTTCCTTCCTTCCCTCCCTTCCTTCCTTCCTTCCTTCCTTCCTTCCTTCCTTTAGTGATATTTTCAGCTTCCTTTCTTTTTTTCTTATATAGTCTCTTCCTTGTTTGAGTTATTTTTCTTCTTTTTTGACTTCATCTTTTTTGTTGTTGTTGCTTTCAAAGGCACAGTGCAATAATGGATAGCGGCTCGGATTGAAGAATTGGAGAACCGAGTTCGAATTTCGGTCGGTTCCATTACATTTACTTACATGTTAATAGCCTTCGGAATCTTCTCCTACGCCCCCCTCCCGCCCCACACCAGCTATGACAGACTGGGTTCTATAGTCTTCAGTGGCAACCGGTCTAGGAAAAGGAAAACTCAAAATTCAACCCGGCCCGGAGAAGGTTGGGCTCCGCCATGCTGTCTTGCTCAGGAAACACGACTCCGGGTGCATGTGATAACCCCTACGACCCGGATGGGTGACGAGATTCGCGGTCGTTTTTCATATCATTTTTTCCTGCTTTCTTAATAAGTTAAATTTTCTTTCTTCTTTTCTATCTTTCTATTATTCTTTCTCAATGGTTTTTATTCTTTTTAAAAATTTCAACATAATTTTTGTTGTTTCTTTCTTTCTTTCTTAACTATTTTTTCTTCCTTCCTGAATCGTTCAACTATTTTTCTCGAAAACCTTTTTCCTTCTTTCTTTCGTAATAAGTTAAATTTTCTTTCTTTTTCCGTCGTTTCTTTTCTCTCTTTTTTTTTTTAAATGTCAACATACTTTTTCTTGCTTCTTTCTTTCTATTTCTCTTTCTTTCTTTCTTTCTTTCTTTCTTTCTTTCTTTCTTTCTTTCTTTCTAAAAAAAAAAAAAACAGTGTCGTTAGCTTATTTCAATTCTGTTTTCTTTAATTCTTTTCTCCTTTCCTTCTTGTAAACATTCTTTTCAATGTTTTCTAAGTTGACTTTCGTCCCACAGCTGACCTACAAGTGTTGGACACCCAGTGGGATTCGAACTCATTTCAGTAGGGATGGTGTACGAGGAAATCTCACTATTCAATTCTCCTCAGCGAGATATTACTTCTTTCTTTCTTTCTTTCTTTCTTTCTTTCTTTCTTTCTTTCTTTCTTTCTCTAATTTCCACCACCAATTACAAGGGCGGACATCTTTAACTTTTGGTCTCCGATTTCAGAAATGGATCAAGGTGTCTTGTTTCCTCTTCGGAAGATACTGTATGAAAAATCTCCTCCCGAGAGAATTTCATCCATCTCCAAGTTCCGCCAGAATCCAGTGGGCAGGGACAGAAGTACACGTATCATCATCTCCCACGTGGCCAGAAAGACAATTGCTTTTGCTATCGAATTGCATGCCGGGAGGGTCATGCCGTGAAAATAGACGTCCATTAATAGAGTAGGCAAAGCTACAAATATGAATGTTTGCGAATGACAAACTCGATATATACGTACATGTATGAAAGTGTGTGCATATGCACATACATGTATGCGGGTATATATATATATATATATACATGTATGCGGGTGTTCGGCTGAAGATTCGTTCTCTCCTGTTACAGTGTTTAGCTATCTATCTATCTATCTATCTATCTATCTATCTATCTATCTATCTATCTATGCCTATTAATATCTATCTATCTATCTCAGTCAATTCATATCTATCTATCTATCTATCTATCTATCTATCTATCTATCTATCTATCTAAGCCTATTCATATCTATCTATCTCAGTCTATTCATATCTATCTATCTAAGCCTATTCATATCTATCTATCTCAGTCTATTCATATCTATCTATCTAAGCCTATTCATATCTATCTATCTCAGTCAATTCATATCTATCTATCTATCTATCTATCTATCTATCTATCTAAGTCTATTCATATCTATCTATCTCAGTCTGTTCATATCTATCTATCTATCTATCTATCTATCTATCTATCTATCTATCTATCTAAGTCTATTCATATCTATCTATCTCAGTCTGCTCATATCTATCTATCTATCTATCTATCTATCTATCTATCTATCTATCTATCTATCTATCTAAGTCTATTCATATCTATCTATCTCAGTCTATTCATATCTATCTATCTATCTATCTATCTATCTATCTATCTATCTATCTATCTAAGCCTATTCATATCTATCTCAGTCAATTCATATCTATCTATCTATCTATCTATCTATCTATCTATCTATCTATCTATCTAAGTCTATTCATATCTATCTATCTCAGTCTGTTCATATCTATCTATCTATCTATCTATCTATCTATCTATCTATCTATCTAATTAATATTCGGTATATTTGTTATTTTCTCAAATTGGACAACTTTTCTGGTTTCCGGGTGGATGTTGAAAATAAATGTTGAAATTTTTCATTGCCTTCTGGGTCAGTATCAAAGAATTCCTTGTGGCTTGATAATTATGTATCTCAGCTTGTGGTATGTTGTCTTTTTTGTCTCAAGAAAATTGGAAAGGAAAGAAAGAAGAAAAGATTAACTATCAACAATAAGATGATGTTTTCCAGAAACTAAACAAAGTATTAAGTCACAGGAAATATTCGTTAAGAACAAAGAAAAGTGTGCTGAACTACTCGACGATATTTGTCCTATGAACAATTTTCTAAAAAGATGAAGAAGAAACTAGAAGCAACAGAAATGTGGTTCAACAGACCTACGCTGAAAATGCTATGGGACGTGAAAGTGAACAACCAGGAAATTTTTAAAAAATGGAAAGGAAATAGACTCTTATACAAATCATAAAAAGACAGTCGAAATTTCCGGGACAGGAGAAAGGAAGGCTTGGAAAACCTCTCACGGGCAACTTACACTAATGAATGTTAGAATGGATAGCAAAGCGGGGACCAAGAGAGAAAGTGCAAAAAACAGGAAGTTGTGGAGAGCCATAACCACCACCTTTCTAATGTAACAGGCTCATAAAAAATTATATATATATATATATATATATTATATAATATATATATATATTATATATATATATATATATATATATATATATATATATATATATATATATATATATATATATATATATATATATAATTTAGGCTCTAATTATGTATTGAATATTGTTTTTAAAATGAGTAAAAAATACTAAAGACCTTTGAATTATTAACCTAACGGTTCTTTCCTATTTTTCTATATATTTGCGCGCGAGCGCGCGCGCACACACACACACACACACACACACACACATACACCCACACACACCCACACACACATACACACACACACACACACACACATACACATACACACACACATATATATACATATATATATATATGTATATATATACATACATTTGCTTATATTTCTGAGATAAGATATTGTAATTATTTATATTATTTACATTGTTCGGGCTTTTGTGTTCGTCTTTATTGTCATGTTCACGGTGTTTCGGCCGTTGTACGCTCCGACCTTCTTCAGGTGACTGGAATCGCGAACTAAACCCTTTATTTCGTCCACTGGGGTAGATTGTTCTAGTTTTTTACATCAGTTTCATTACATGTATCTCTATTTATAAAAGGCAGGATGTGTGTGTGTGTGTGTGACGAATACTCGGCCGCAGTTTTCGACGGATTTGCACCAAAATTTACATGCACATGATCCAAGTTAACGGAAAGGCCAAGACCGACGTTGCATTTCCCAATTCCCATCGATAGTGGAAGTAATCGATTTTTTCATGCTTCTACGGCAGTTTTCATGTAGTTTGCGGCCATTTTCTACTGGCCAGAATGTGAGCCTATAGCTGGCTGCCACGAATAGGCAGGAAGATACTATTGGCCAGCGTGAGAGCCAACAGCTGACTGACACGAATGTTAACTAGCATGCTAGCGTGCAAATAAATCGATAGCTGCATTCGTCACAAGTGGGAAAAATTTAAATCTGCATGGCACTTTACTCCAATTGGCTCATTCGCTTGCTTAAACTCAATGTTGATTCTGATTCCGCAGAACTGGGTTGGGTGTGAAAAAGTATTTGTTGTTAACATTCTTTTTTCATTCGGTTTTGCCAGTTACGTGTCCTTTTTTTTTAAAGCTGATCGTTTTGTGTTCATTTTGTTTTGTTCTTTTTTCGTAACAGATTTAATGTTTAGTATAGAGCTTAGAAAAAATTCGCAGTGTGAGATAGGCAAGAAGTAAGGCATGTAGCAACATCAGCACGGCAAAGGGCACTCCTTTAAAGGCAAGGAAAGGTAAAAATATTTTAAGTTAAGTGATAGCGATTGCTGTATGAGTCGTACGATTTTTGAATCAAGCACTGGCAACGCCAGGCCATGCTGCTATTTAATTATAAACTAGACCATCTTAAGTTCATTTGGTTCTTTCTTTGGTATTGTTATTTTTTATTGGATTCTTGGCCATTTCCCTGGTCTCTGTGAAGGAAAATAAAGAAAGAAAAAAAGAAAAGAAAAAAGGAAAAGAAAAGGCGACAACGCAACAAAAAAATCTGTTAAATATATATTGATCATATGAAAATATTGTGCTATATAGTATAATATTATATATATTAAAAAACGATTACAAGTATGAAAATCCATATTCTGTGCAATAAACTTGGCATAATGAAGGTTTCTGCTCGGTGTGGTGTGCTAACTAGTTTTTTTTAAGCATTTCACCCCAAGCCTGGCGGGAAGCCACTAGCACGCAAGGGATTACAGAGAGTTGGAGCTTGAGCAAATAGAAGTGATAGAGGAAAGGATGAAGAGAAGGATAGGGGATAGATCAGGGCATCTGGAGACGTCGATTGACGTTACATTTGAATCGTTGGAGATTATAGCTATCAGGGAAACAAGAAATAGGCAGGGAGTTCCACAAGCGAGAAGTGCGGGACATGAAGCTCCAATAGCTTCATATCTCGCATTTCTCGCCTGTGAAACTCCCTTCCCATTTCCGTTTAGCAGACTATTATTTTTTTTAGAGACTTGTATAGCTGCTCCGACTTATTGAGTTTGACCGTAGGGTTCAAATATACGACAAAATAAAGGAAGTCGAGTTTGACTGGCTGAGCCAGCGTGGGAATGATAGATACAGAGAAAGGAATTTCTGCAAGACGGTTTTTACACGTCGAACAATGTAGTCGTGTTCCCTTTGTCTCTGGAAATTGTTCCCCAGTAGAGGGGTGAGAGCAACCCCACTGGCTAGTTAGAAATGTACACGTCGACATGTTTAAAAATCTAGATAAGTTCCAGATTCTCTTTGCTGAAATTCTTTTATCCTCAGACCAAAACGACTAACGATCACCAGTTGTGAAAGAAAAAGGCAACATTATTATTATCGAATCGACGCCGTCGCCCATGACCCTGTTATAGTGGAACACACCTTTTCTATTGTTAATAGACTCTCCCACCTATAATAAGTAGGAGTAGTAACAGTCGTTCAGTGGCTCAGTCAGTCAGTCGTTCACTTCTGAACCGACTGTTCGGTTGAACTCTCTGCCTTCGGACGGGGAGGAACCCGAACGAGGCTACGCCGAGGGGCGGAGTCTCGTTCGGGGAGGTAAACCGGCCCTGAGCCCGTTTATACGGGTTCAATGGGCATATTTTTGGGCCGAGCCCACGGGCTTAGAGAACCCACAATAAATAAACGACCTTGTGTCACATGATGCCCCAGTGGTGGGGGGTGACTGAATATCCTCAGTCAGTCAGTCGATGTCGGACGACCACAACTAGATTTTCTCTGCGTCATTACCTATTATATCAAGTTCCTAACGTTTTGTACGTCGAACCTATTTTAGGACCGACTTAGTACAAATACAAGCCTCCACTGTGAAACCACTCCACAACAATTATTTGACGTCGAAGATTCGAACTCATACGGAG